ATATGCTCATCCGGATGAAAATTCTCCTTTGCGCGATTGGTTCCTATTTTCTTTCATCTAGTATAACATGTATTATGTAAATGAATATAATGTCCTTTTCATGTCCCTTTTGCTCATAGGCTGTATCAGATGAGTGTGAATTGTGTCTATGATGTTATTATGCTTTTCCACATTGATTTATGTATTATGTTTTTGTATGGTGCTTTCTACCTTCTACCTATAAGTATACATACTTTTATCTTTACTTTTATAATTGTAAATATAGATAGCCCTAGTTCCTAATATAAGATTCACTGTAATCTTCTTGGAATGAATAAAGGCATATATATATATATAACTTCTTCTTTCCTAAGTTCTTCTCATACAGACAATTGTAGTACAGAACAGTGCAGTACAGTACTGCTGATGATCTCACTGAAGCGTTCTGGCCCTATATTCCAATGAGTAATATTGATGTCCGGTTTACAAAATTGTTTTTTTCTGTGAGGGAAAAAAAGTTTGGCATTTCATTTGTGTTGGCAGGTAAAAACATGTCACTTTTCATGAATTACTTTTTTCCCGTGGGAAAAAAGTGAGTGCTTTTTGCCCGGATATATATAGCGAGTTTGCTAGGTAGAATTTTTCATCATAATCAAGGGTATCGATTCATCTCGGAAGTCATTTTCTTATTTCTGATATTTGTTAGTGCTTTAGTTGAGTTATAATAATAATAATAATAATAATGTGTCTTTATTTTATGAAAAAACTTGGTAACACAAACTATACAATAGTGCTGGCGCCATTCGGCCTCGGCCGCTCTTCCATGTTGGGATGAGGTTTCAATTTCTATGAGTAGTTTTTAACGCTGTCAAACGTTCCTAAATTCACTTCGAATCTGAAGTGGAGCCACAGGCACAGACTTATAAGTATATACCTGATCTTCGGACATCGTATGTTCACAGCTAGAAGCCTCATACTGCAGGTAAGCACTCTGAAATGGGGCCAAAAAGGGGCCAAATCCAGGTTTGTTTCAATAAAAGAGCATCAGTAACCATGGAAGTGATCCTAGCAACAATCACAACAAACGGTTGCCCTTCAAATAGCAGCACGAGCCACGATATTTTCAGAACATCATCAACCTCCGAAGAAGCAACACCTCCAGAAATAATGGTTCTAGGTGATATGGAAGAATACCAGACCTCTACCTCCATTAAAGGCCGAAGGAACGGTTAGAAGGATCAGGTCCCAATATAATATCTTATCATCTCTCAGACTTTGCAAGATAGTCAATTCCAAATTGAGTAAATTCCTCCTCACATTATAACTTTTGCGTAATATGGTGCTCCACTGTTGCTGAACCTTGACCAGTTTATCTACGTAAATCGGAGTGCTTATAGTTATAGATGACGATGAGTGGTCGAAATGGTCGAATTGTTCGATGGTACTGTGGGAGCGTGTTCCCTACTTAATTCCATTCAAATTAACAGTAGGCATACTGAATTTCGACGTTCCTGTGGAGGTGGCTGGCAACCACTCTTATATTCAATCCCGGCGGGTGACGATCCTTTTGCTAAAAAACCTATACACTCTGAATTATTAAAACGGAAATTTAGCGAAAACCATGAGAGTAATCGAGTCTTGTCAAGAGTATATGTTTTAAAGTAAATGAGTTGCGCAATCTAAATTCCATACTCAAACTCCTTTTATTCCATTGGCGTAGAATTGTTGAAGGTGCAATTATAAAAAAAATCAAGTTCTACGCCTATGTATTATTATCGGACAAAATTTTAACACAATTTTTTTACCACATAAAACTCTATCAATATACCAAATTTCAGCAGAATCGCATATGCCGTTTTGAATTTATATGGAAACAACGATTTAAAAATTTTAACTTGAAGGCCCTCTGGAGCCCAAACGATGCAACTTTGTACAAAGGTAAGTTTACCTAAATCGACTTATTTTGTTCTAAGAAATATGTGGTATGTTTTTGTAAAGACCTTCTACAGACATCCTGTAAAAGACGGTATGTATACAGGGTATCCGAGAATAACGTTCGAGGTGATTCTACAGGTATAGAATTGAGAAAAAAGTTTCTTTCGACAGGTGTCCGAAATTGCCTCGGAAAATACTTCCGAAATGCACTATACAGTCATGTCTTTGATGAAGGTTATTTCAATAATTTTTGTTATCATTGATCTTAGAATCAACAAATATATAAAACCTATCAGTATTTTGACCTTACAATTGATAGTTTCATGGTTGGGAAAAAATGATATAATATACAGGGATGTGTGAAACTCGTATCTCAATTCACCTGAAGAAGATACTCTCATAAGAATGCCGTGAAACGAACAGTTTTCAAGAAAACTGTAAAGATTTATTTTGATGTCCGAAAAAGATAACAATGATTTTGGGCGATCGTTCTTATATGATGAAAAAGAGTGGAGCTTGGTGATTGAAATTTTGTATTGAGGGGTAGTTTATTTTTATTAGAGTTGGAGGTGATGTTCATTTGTTGAAAAAATAACCGCAATGATAATTGTCGAAATTTCAAAACCTTCTCCTTCTTCTTCTTCTTCTCTGCACAGGTGGGCGGGTACGTAGACCCCTGCACTCAGGCCTCTTCAGTCGGGCCCATTGTGCGCCCACTTGTCCTGTGAATCAGCTGGGCATTCCGATTTCTTTGACGAAATTCAGCAGCTTCCTCAGCTGAGTCACTTTCACATCCTTTGGGTGCAGTACAATGCTCCCAAAGGCAGCTTTCCTCTGATGCATCAGCGCGGAGCATTCAGTGAGTATGTGTGATGATGTTTCATCATCCTCCAAGCACCATCTACAGATGGGATCATCTTTGATCCCTATGAGTTCTAGGTGCCTGTTGAGGTGATTGTGCCCAGTTGAGAGCCCAACTAACATCTTGAGATCCCTTCTATTAAGTGACAGGATCTCTCTCGTGAGCCTTTTTGAAGGTTCCTTTATGTGGAGCTTTGATTGTCTCATTCCTGGTGTGTCCCGCCATGTTTCAAGGAACTGCCTCTGTACAGCATATCCTTCATGAAGGACATAGCCGTACTATTGGGTATTCCCAATTTCGGTTCTGGTCCAATGGGTGTCGTTCCTGAACCGATCTTGGTTAGTCTGTCTGCCTTCTCGTTTCAAAACCTTATCCACTAGTGAAATTTGTTGGTCATAAAATTGCAAAATCACACTTTCTTCGGAAACGGTCTGTTTTCCAGCATTCTAGCGAGAGCTTTTTTTATGTTGAATTGTTCGAAGGATCATATTCTGCTATACTCAAGATGGAATAAATAGTGGAACAAAAAAAACTTTGGGCATTTTATTACCATCGATTAGGAGTTTCGCACCTCTCTGTATTATCGGAGCATCGGCTGGGGATAGTCCTGCACGATTCGCTGTTGCGTTCCAATTAACAGTGCTGCTCCTAAAGTGGCGCATGGAGTTAGTAACAAAGCCTACACAGAACGCGCAGAAAGATATGATGATGTGGTTGTGAGCGTCAGAGAAGAAGTAGGACGGTGTATGTAGGTGGGTGTGGAAAAAAACTACCAGCTGAGCGTGAGAGCGGGCCAGCTGCTTAAGTAGACCTCGGTCTCGGGGGTTAACGATGATAGTTAGCAGGCCTGCCACTGCGCATATGGTAGTGAGTACATTACTAGCCTACAAAACACAGCTGAAAAACTCTGAAAAGAGAGCTGATGGGCGGTGCCTGAAAAGGATGTTAGCCAGCTCTCTTGAGCGAACCACATCAGTCATTGAACACACTTGGGGTTGGCAAAAAGGTCCCATTGGGGACTAGTTGCTGACGTGGAAACGTCCCCCACCAGTACCAGTACCAGTATTATTGGATGATGTTTTTCGCACCAAGTAACTTTTTGTAAGATCAAATTACCTATAGGTACCAAATTTCGTGATACTATAAAGAATCAGTGCTAACAAAGATAATTGAAGGAAACTGCGACCTACCTTCTGAGGACTATTATAGCGCTCTTATATAAGAAATACTTTCAGACACATGTTGATCGGAGAATTTTTCTCATTTTCCATCCCTGAGTATACAAACGCCATTCTTGGAAACCCTGTATAGAAACTCATTTTGTCGTGCCCAAATTTTCTGGGAGAAGATCAAGATGAAGATCTGATTGGTTTTGATGTTATTTCAAGTATTTTAATAGTATTCTTTCTTCATATTGCTTCCCTTTCAAGGAAAGTTGTTGATTCGTATATTATAGCCGTTATCTCAAACTATATTGTCTATTAGAGAATTAAGATCAGAAACGCATATTGGTTTTGATTTCGAGTTCCTTGGTTCCTCCTAAGGTATGTGAGTTTCCTTTCATCTAAAATTAGTTTTTGTTAGAAAATCAAGATGGAGAGATGATTATTTCTGTCTCTCCTCCTAAGGTATGTGAATCAATGTGTATGTATAGCAATTCTTGTTCTCCCATCTCAACCTCTGTTCTGTTGAAAAATCAGGTGAATGTTTGTGAGTTGAAATATACTATAAGTCAATTTTTTATCTCGCTTCTGAAACGAATTTTCAAAGAAAATCAAGATGAAAAACAATAATTGATCGTTCACATTTTGTTTCTCGCAAATATTACGTTCACAATGTTTTGCCGAAATTTTCGTAATATTGCACCGATATTGTCCCAATATATATATGATACTTGAATATAAGGAATTGTAATGATAATGGATGAATGAATGATTGTAACGTTGCTTGGGCCTTGGGGTACAGCACAACTGAATCAAAAATAGAGGCCCTGTATTTAGGGTACATAATTCCGAAGGAGTAAAATTATTCGCTTACTTTCCTTTCATCACCTTGACCAAATATAAATTAATAATTTTGGAATTTGATGATAATGTATCCATGAGAGTGTCAAGTTGAATAAGGAACTGAAGTTTGAGTATACTAGATCAATTATTATAATGTGGGCTTCTATATTTATTCAGACAAACAAGTAGGTGTCGCTTTAAACGATTTCAGTAAACACCTTCTACACTCCTGTAGGTATAAAAGATAGAGTTCCTATGTATCATCACTTCAGTGCAGCACAATATACCTAACATGGTAAGTTATTAAGAATACTGAATTGTTTATGGTCCAATTTTTTTTATTGTGTACTGATGTAGCATATTGATACCGCAAGATTATGTGTCTGGACAAGGTTGCAACATGTACATTGTACAATTCTATATAGTATCAGTTAGTCCTTTTTTGATCGATTTTTGTACCATGAGAGACCATTCGAATGACTATTGTCTTCCTATCAGTACGAGTTTATTAGCATTTTGAATGATTAGTCAAGTTTTTTCTAGTAGATTCTGCATCGCTTTCGATGTCGAGCACATGAATTTGAATCTAAATAAAGAAAACACGTTAGGATTCCAAATAATAAAAAAAATTCCTCAAAGACGATGCAGAACAATGAATGGCAAGGTATTACTTATTCTGAAATTGTTTTAATGCTTCTTTCCACAATTTCCTACGCATGGTACATCTCGTTAGAATCAATCAACGAACAGGAAATATACTTTCCGAAATCAGAAAGGTACGAAGGCCTGGAAGGGACACATAAAATTGTTGTTCTGAAATTGTTCTGAAATTGTTCTGAAATTGTTCTATCCGTCATTCGGTTGCCCCCTTACGAGCAACCCTCAGAAGTCTTCGAGAGTCTTGTGCGAGCAAGGAATGACGGGGGCCTTACCTTTTAACGTGTGATCCCAAACACTTTCTTGGGCCATCAGAAAAATTTCTGCAGTCGACGGGACTCGAACCCACGACCGGCAAGCGAATGCGGATTAGAATATGGACACTCTGTCCGCACGGCTACTCTTCAAAATTCTGAGTTATAATATTCCGAGTTATAACACGGAATTTTAAAATTCCGAGTTATAACTCGGAATTTTTCATCCAATATTCCGAGTTATAACACGGAATTTTGAAATTCCGAGTTATAACTCAGAATCTTGAAGAGTTTTTATTTTTTTTATTTTATTCGTCCCTTCCAGGCCTAAGTAGGAAGGGACCCTCAGGATAAGAATCAAAATAATTAGATTTGAAACATGTGAAAATAATTTCATCAAACTGAGCTGAAAATACTAATGGTTACTTGTATACACATAATTTATTATGGAAGCTTCATTATATCATTTCAATAATGTGAAAATCTCGAAGTCTCACTCAAAATCTGGAATGTTATGCACTTTTTTTCGCACTACATGTCTGCTTTATAGGTTGGGAGGAGAAAAAAACCATCGAAAAAACATAGCAAAATTCGCAAACATGATTGAATGTTGAACAAGGCTTGAGCACATTTCAAACCGATTTTCTGATTTTGAGTTGAATGAATCCCCAAAAACCAATTCTCTTCAGATTCATGTTTCTTATGGAAAAAAAGAATTGAAGAACGTTAACTATACAGTTGATGAATATCCACTTTCAAGATGAGGAAATTTTTCAATGTTGCATTGTAATTAGATTTCGTTCTATACTAAATATTTTTCCAATAATAATTTTTTCCTTACTCACATTCGTTCAACTTACTATGAGATATGTATATCAATATCATGTTTGGGAAGTGCTTATAACTACCTATCTATGTGTTTCTTTTTCAGATGAACCATCGCCAACTCCTGATTTTGACCATCTTCACCATTCATTACATCAATTGTTCTCCGTATAGTTTGGATACAGTGATGAAAAGAAATAGGCATTTATGCGGTCCCCGTCTGAAGGATGCTCTGAGTCTAGTATGCAATAACATATTCGCTCCAGGGAAAACTAAAAAAGCTGATGATTTATGTAAGTTTCCCTAGGTGGCAAAGAACGTATCCCAATAAACTCCGCCAACGGCAATATAAAGATATAAGATTTATTTATGTACAATATTTTTTCTAATTATGACATATAAAACATTACGTAACCAGTTGCATAAAGTGAAATATTACATAATTTGTGATGAAATGTTCATTTCAACACCAGTTACGTACTAATAATATAGATGGACAAAGAGAATAGTGCAATTTGTGCTGCTTCCTCGATATCACTCGGGAAATCTGAACTAGTCATTTTCCACTGATGAAAATATCCAAATGAGCACAAATAATTATAAAATAAAACACTTTCTCCGCTTGTGACATTCCCTCGATGCTCATAAAGCATCTCACGATAACTGATAGAAACATTTCTTCTGTATCTTGGCATATACAGGGTAGGGTGTACATCAACATAAACCATTTCACTAGAAATATCATACATGAAAATTGTAAAATAACGAAGTTCGAAGATAAATCGATGAACATGATTATAACACATCGCGCTTCACCAACTGAATAATTCGACTTGACTGTCTTTGTCGTCATTGCCGTCTATTGAACTGATTGAACTGATAGAACTGATTGAACTGATTGAACTGATTGAACTGATTGAACTGATTGAACTGATTGAACTGATTGAACTGATTGAACTGATTGAACTGATTGAACTGATTGAACTGATTGAACTGATTGAACTGATTGAACTGATTGAACTAAATTTTTTTTGTTCTTAAATTTGTTTTATCCGTCATTCGGTTGCCCCCTTACGAGCAACCCTCAAAAGTCTTCGAAAGTCTTGTGCGAGCAAGGAATGACGGGGGCCTTACCTTTTAACGTGTGATCCCAAACACTTTCTTGGGCCATCAGAAAAATTTCTGCAGTCGACGGGGATCGGACCCACGACCGGCAAGCGAATGCGAATTAGAATATAGACACTCTGTCCGCACGGCTACCTGGCCACCATTGAACTGATTGAACTGATTGAACTGATTGAACTGATTGAACTGATTGAACTGATTGAACTGATTGAACTCAATGAACTGATTGAAAAATAAGAATCGGATAAATCACGATCACGATGAATCCATAGTCACAATTCAGGAAATATTCGATTTCGATTGGATCTTCGATGACATTTCATGATTCGACAAGTTCTTCGGAAATATCCTGTTTAATAATATATATTATATACATATATATATATATATATAATATAATAATGATATGTGTAATTTTATTGCCCCCAACTTTGATGAAAAACAAATTTGTTCCAGTTTCAGATGATACTTTCAACTTCGACGAATACGATGAACTAGACGAAATGTATTCTGATGACAAAGAATACAAATTTCCATTCCTCAGGAAAGACAATATGATTGCGTTGCCAAGGAAACGCAAACCTGGAATAGTGGAAGAATGTTGTCACAAACCCTGTACGGAAGAACATCTGAGATTATACTGCTGGAAGACATATTGAGATTGAATCAGATAATATGATATTATGTGAAATGTCCAAATGGTTCATTGATTAAATTGTTTGTTTCGAGATATATCCTCGTGTGACTTTTTTTCACGTTTCTGAAAACCAATAGGAACTCGAAATCTCAATCTCCCACGTAAACATAATACGTCCCATGGAAATAATATCACACAGGGTGTTCCTGAACTGAAATGTCTGTACAAAATGTTACCACAGAGTATTAAGACCTCTATACCAAAACGCTTCGTCTAGCCGCTACAGGGCCGTTTGTTTGGAATAATTTTGATATTTTAATGTTTTTTATATTTGAATAATTTTTGTAGGCACACTGGGAAGATCATTATGCATTAAAAACATCTCATATAGTTTATGCGAAGTCAGTTGAAAAACTTCCGTTTTTAAGGACGGTACGAGGATTTGTCGATTTGCTTTACATTGGAATAGGAATGAATAAAATATTTTCTACTGAGTTTTCCCGGTATGTAGCCTGTGCAGTCAACGTGGACTAGACGAGCGCTGTCATGCTAGAAACCGCGTCTCATTGGTTTCTCCAAATTATACTGAATGTTGATTGGTCAGAGTTGCATGGGCGGTCTTCTGTGTGATGAGAATCTTCTAGCCTGCGCTAGGCAGTGCGGTACGAGCTAGGTTGCCTCCATTGGTTCAACTCGAAATTCAGAAAATTATTATTTCAATCATAGTGGTTTTGTGTTCTGTAGGCCTTTTCAGGAAGTCAACGAAGTAAGTGATAGTGTTCCGGAGGAAGAGCAAGCGAAATTCGCCAATAAAGACACGTTCAAACGCAAAGGGTAATTTTGAATATCTATTCGCGTCTCAAGGACGAGAATAATGATTCTTCAGAAAACCAACTTGTGAAGAAAATACAGGAATCAACTAAAATAAGCTATACCCAGCATATACAGACTTATTAGAACCGGAGGTGTTGTAGATCATGAAGTTGAACGAAAAAGTATGGGACAAAAACTCAAGAAGCTTGATGATGCTTCGAAAGAAGTCAGTTTTAACCACCATCGGGACAGTATCCAGTGATAATTAGGGTAAATGAAGATTCAAGTCATGAAGAGTCCGATAGTGACTAGTGATAATATATCATCCAGTATTCGTGTATAACAGTTACGAAAACTGATAAGTGGTGTGTTGTGAATCATAATGTTATTTTCATAACCAAAGTGTGAAGTTTAGGAAAGTGATGTGACATGTGTAGTTAAATTGTGTAAAGTGTAGGAAAATGATGTGACATGTGAATTAAAACTGTGAAACTGTACCTATTTCTAATTTCAACGAAAAAAAACCTTTCAGAATATACCATTTATTTGCTGAGCATTTTCATAAGGTTCAATGTTATTGATATTTTATTTTGTTGATTATTTTCTTCGTATGATTTCGAACCAATCAGAACAATGTTCAATTGACTAAGTTACCTTGTATGATCTCGAATATACGTGTATCATACATAGAGTAACTCTACCAATCGGAAATTCAGAATTATTGGCATTTCCATAGTACTTATCTTATTCAGATTGTTACATACATATCTTGAAGTTGCTTATACTACTGATAATTTTTATCAAGTTCAATGTTTTATTTTTATTTAATCTTGTTGAGAATTTTTATCAAGTTTAATGTTATATTCATATTTTATTTTGTTGAGAACTCTGATTTAGTTTAATTTTACTTTCACATTTACTAAGTGAAAATAATAACAACTTCGAATTCAATTTTGAATTTAATCGTTTTGAATATTTTTCAATTGATTTCATTTCGTGGGAAAATAAATAGTGGTGCATCTACTAATATTAGAAATTACGAAATAGACAACAAGAGTTGTTTTCACTTTAATATTCTCAATATAATTCATGAGGAAAACCCACAAAAACTGATGAAACCCCTATGTCATTACAATAAACTAACACAAATCATATTTGGATCATTCGGACAACACAAAATATCATTATTAATACCATCATTCAACTTACCCAGACAGCACCAGATATTCCATGAATCTCCCTATCATATTCCTTTTGGAATATTGGAATATTCTAGAAATAATCTGGAATATTCCGGAATATCTGTGGAATATTCTCTGAATATGCGAATGGGAATTCCTCAGATAATCATAGAATATACCCAAAAGAATATTCTATGTTGAATGTTCCTGGAATATTCCAATAAACATATTCTAAAATTAAAAAAAGTGACCCAAGTAGGGATCGAACTCGTGACCTCAAGACTATAAGAGCGACGCCTTGACCACTAGGCCAGTAATCGAATTGAATAATGTTATACATATCAAGTTCCAAGTTCTTGTGAGAGCATTGTTCAAAATCGGATCATAAACACTTTTTGTTTCAAAATCCCCTTACATCTAATTGATGTTCGATACTCACATCTCTGAAATAATAAATGTTATTTATGTGTTGAGAAACATAGGGATATTCATGGAATATTTCATGAATATACACCACAGAATATTCAGTTGAGAATATTTCATGAATATACCGCACAGAATATTCAGTTGGGTATATTTCATGAATATACCGCACAGAATATTCAGTTGGGTATATTTCATGAATATTCCTGGAAGATTCATACCTGAATATTCCCTGAACATGTCCGACTATTCACTTTGGAATATTCTTTTTAGATGTTCCAGAGGCATGTATATATTCTAGGAATAATCGATGAATATTCGGAATATACTCCTCCTTTTTAGCATATTTAGAGAATATTCTATGAATATCCAGTGCTGTCTGGGTACATCTCTCACAGCAGTCATTGTAGGTAATAGACCATCTTCTGCGCCTACGCACTCAATGGTTTAGGCATTTTGAATAAATCGAATTCCACCTATGATCCACAAATAAATCACAAACAATTCCTTGAAAGTACAAATTGTCAGTAATGAATAATTCGCAGAGATCTGCTGATAAATGGCTGATGATAACAACAAATCGCTTCTAGAAATGCCAAATAAATCTGGCATCGGTGTACAGTTTTGCCAACTTAAATCGATAACGCGATTTGCCCATTTCGAAAGTTACTAGTATTTTTTGATGTGCAGTTTTGGCACGACATTGTTACCAAGTATTGCGCAACTATCAACCCAGCGTGAAAGCTCTTTACTCGATATATTAAATTGGAGTCCGAAATGGGCTATTTTCCAACAATTCATGTTGAAAAATATTCCGACTAGATTAGTGCGGTACCTATTCCAAAAATGCAATACCTTATATATAGGGTGAATGAATTGTTTTTCATTTGAAAGCCCTGTTTCCGAAGAAACTATAGAAAAAATTGGATTGTATCAGGAGCAATAACCCTCTCAAGGTTGAAACAAATTCTACTGTATTCGAAAGCTATTTCAATGCAAAACTTATACCTACATATTTCTTTTCGCGGACTTTTGAATTTGGACAGGTATAATACTTTCACCTTTCATTTGTTCATTGAGTACTAAATATACCATCAATTTTGTAGAAATCGCACATTCCACAGAAATCATATGAAATATTTTTTTATCTGAATTGAAATAGATTTCAAATACTGTAGAATTAGTTCCAAACTGGAGTGGCTGGAGAGGTTATTGCTTCTGATACATTTCAATTTTCTCTAGTTTCTTCGGAAACAGGACTTTCAAATGAAAAACCTTTCATTCACCCTGTATATAGTGCATTGCATTTTTGGAAGAGGTACCGCAATAATCTAGCCGGAATATCTTTTCACATGAATTGTTGGAAAATAGCCCATTTCGGACTCCAATGGAGTGAATCGGGTAGTATCAATAAAATCCGTACATTCAAAAGTATATATAGCCGACAAACGAGTCCGGAGACCTATGCTTATATTGATGACAATATCTCGGACTCCTCAAATCGTACATTATATCAAAAATTCAAGAAAATTAACCGATTCTTTTTCGAAATATTAGGATTCATTGAAAAAAAAAACGCATTTTTTCAAGAAACTTGGACTGTATCTTTTTACTCACCCCATATATATGAAATGAGTATGCGACATTGGCAACATTAAAGAATGTCTGATATATATATGCTCTCCCCTTTCCCATTCAAAAAACTTGGGATTGACGTACCCCTATTTTCGAACCACGCTGTATATGAAAAAAAATGTCAGTGAACTTCGATCGAGATTGAAAAAGTTCGTCCAGGCTTCAATTGGATGTTCAATTCTCATGGAAGAACTCACCCTGGTTGGTTTGAAATTAATCGAATTGGATTTTTTTTTGTTCACCCTGTTGTAGAAATCGTAAAATTATAATGGATACGAGATCCAGATGACATTGTACCATCATTCAGGCATGTTATTCCATGAATAAATGGGCGTTTTGTCAATTCTCGGAGTTGTTAAAAATTCTGAGCAAAAAGCATCACTTTTCATCTTTGACTCCCTGTAACTCGAAAACCAGTCAGCCGATTTCTTTGTGCCCATGGACACTTTTGCTTAGGGAGTCAAAATCTACATCATACCAAAAATTCAGGGAATTTAACCGAAAGCCAGTTTCCATAAGGAAAGTGCGGGGTCCTTTCTATCCGTTTGAAAATTACCGTGGCATTATTGATGATTTGAGCACCTAAAAATCGACAGAAAAATTCAAACAAAATATGAAATCTAAAGATATTCGAGTGATGATTCTATTTGAGAAATGAAAAAAAATTAGTCCACTCCCCTATTCCCATATCGGTGAGTTATGGGAGTGGCTGATTGCCCGACTGGCGTAATATTAACTGGCGGTCTTCGGACTGATAGCTGCAGACTACCTTTCACTGATGAGAGCCAGAGAGCTCGAAACCGGTCTGTACATGTCGAGCGTTAACTTGGCTAAATGGAAATCAATAGGCATTAAGGAAGGAAACAATTGCACCAGTATTCGTTTAAAAGAATCGTTGCATAGATTCCGTGAGAATGTAATTCAATGTTCTGCGTGGCATTAGCCAGGAAAAGAACTTTATAGTTAGTGAACACTTCAAGTTCTTGGGAGTCTATACAGGGTGTTTCATAATTGAATGCTGATCCTGAAGGGCGATAATCCTTGGATGATTTTAAGAGAAATTCTTCATGTGAACATAGGTCCGTAATAGCTTCTTTCTGAGATACAGGATGTTGAAATTTAACAAA